AGAAGATTTTTGAAATTTTAGTCAATTTGACCCTTTTTGGCCCCGCCCCTCAGACCCCTGGGGGCTTAGGACTAAACCCGCAACTGTTTTTGTTGACCTTTGTCCATGGAAGGTCCCTGCAAAATTTCATTGAAATTGGTTCAGCGGTTTTGGAGAAGAAGTCGAAAATGTAAATTGTTTACGGACGCACAACGGACGACGGAAGACGACGGACAAAAGGCGATCGCAATAGGTCACTTGAGACTTTGTCTCAGGTGACCTAAAAATGTATAGCATAGCACGTCTGCCACAGGCGAGCTAAAAATGTATAGCATAGCACGTCTGCCACAGGAGAGCTAAAAATGTATAGCATAGCACGTCTGCCACATGCACAGGTGAGCTAAAAATGTTTAGTACATCACATGATAATTACTAGGATAGCTACTGGATAACTACCCTTGCTCTATTTGGTATAGTTAGCATCCGCCCTTGACGACGGGAACTATACCTGGAGATGGGCACTATACCTTTTTTTTGGACCGCTGAGACTGCGGGAAAAGTAGCGTGACGCCAAGAGTTGCGCCCCTTCTCCTAGGGGGCGCTGTACATATTCTACTTTCAGTTCATTGTTGTCGTCTGCCAAAATGGCTTCGAGATTCGGGACCGGGAATGCCGATTGCTTTGCAGAGGCTCAGCAATNTGTCTGCCACAGAATTTATGAAAGAGCTAATATTTCCAAGATAACACCACCCTCTATAAAAGAATAGTTGCCAGGCTATACTAAAAGATATAAATTCTGTGGCAGACGTGCTATGCTATACATTTTTAGCTCGCCTGTGGCAGACGTGCTATGCTATACATTTTTAGCCTAACAGCTCGGGCACTATACCTCCCCAGACAACACTATAAGAGAACAGTTCCCTCGGGAAAGGGCCATAATAGAATAATAGCATAGCACGTCTGCCACAGTTGAGCTAAAAATGTATAGCATAGCACGTCTGCCACAGAATTTATATCTTTTATTATAGCCTGGCAACTATTCTTTTATAGAGGGTGGTGTTATCTTGGAAATATTAGCTCTTTCATTTGGACATAGCTTAAACTGTGTGAAAAGAATATTTTTATTTGAGCACATGTCTGACAGTATGTGTGATGGTGAAATCATGTATATGCAATGCTCATTAATCCTATGAATGATCTGGGTTTCTTATCAGCATACCTCCACTATACAGACTTCTGGCTGTGTATTGTCCCCGTCTACTGGTATCTTGGCCACCCGTTCTACCCATTCCTGTATGGCATCTGTGATGTGGGGCACAACTACAACACATATAAACAACCATTAAACAATTACAGGTACAACAAAATCCATTTATCTGAATCTGATTCAACATGTTTCACTTTAATTGATACCAGTTGATTTTTTTAATTTTCATATGCATAATTAGAGCTTTTAATCATAAGATGATTGTATAAATGAATGACCTTTTTGGTACAGGTCACCAGTGTCATACTTATTTCTTCAAATAAATATGTCCTAACAGGTTTTAGACTTGATATGTTGTTAAAACAACCAGTAGACACACACAACCAAATCTATGTACTTTGTTTCTGTAATGGGACCAAAGGCTTACAATGTGGCTTAATTAGGGTTCAATGAATGCAAAGTAATCTTTAAATTTTATTCTCAAAGGATATTTTTTTCATATTCTAGTATTCTCTTCAAAACCATCCATCTATCAAAATCAGGTCTCATAACAATTTTGAATTCTGATTCTTGTTATATAAATATATATTGAGGCCGGAGGGTTGTTGATTTTATTGATTTAGAAGATGTATCATTTTTTCAATATGCATGCCTAATAAGGTTTATCTGGTATCATGTTTCCAGCCATTGAAGACTATTTAATAAAAGTTACCAGGTAATATAATGCATGGGTTAACAAAATGTGAGGGAGTTCAGACTGTAGGACTCATTTATTACTAGTATATTGTAATGTAATTATTTCAATTAGAATGTGCAGTGCCCAGCAGACACTTTCTGTAGCTGGTATTACATAAAATAAATTTAAAGGCAATGGTATAGATACAGACTGCAGTGATGAGTTATCAAGTACATGTATAAGTTGAAAACAAAATCTGTATTGAAGTAAAAAATTAATTATCCTTTTATATGCGTGACAACTGAAGCATATAATACATGCATACAATGAGTGTAATAAAGCCAGTTGTTTACAGTGAGAGGAGAGGTTTGACAAGTCTACCTTCCTTTTAATAGCTGCCATCTTATGTTTGCGTAGAAAATTAAACAATAAACTTGTATAAGTGTTTACATGAGACAACTTGTGAACAAGTTTTGTATTATGTAGTCATGAGGAGTTGAATTTTCAAATACTAATTATCAACTACATATCATCACGAACGGGTGACAATGATAAATGTTTTTTCATTCCATAGAAGGAGCTATATTATCTATATATCTTCTTCGTTGAACCTTCTCCTTGGTGTAAAAACAGTGACATTAGTGTTAGACAAACTACATTCAAAATGAATCAAATTTTTTTCCTCACAGCTAGGTGTCCCCAAATACCAAGTCTGAGCTCAGTACTGCCATTTAAGCAGCAGTAACTTGATCTTAGACAATAAACCACATACCAAATTTGAGCTTTATGCCAATAATTGTTCTGAAGTTAGTTAGCATCAGGACATGTTAATTGGTTCTGCGAAATTCAAGATTTAAAAAGAATGACCCTAAACTTAACAGACCTTGTAAATGTAACATAAACATCTAGGCAAACAGACAGACTACCAGTGTGAGTATCAGATGAGGAAATTAACAAGAGGCCCATGGGCCTTAACAGTCACCTGAGTCTACAGTATTTTTTTTTTTTGTTGAAATATGTACCAATTTGAGTAAAAAATAGTATAATGTTAACTTAACTTTGTCAGGACCATGAGCTGATCATTCCTAGACCAATTTAAAGTGAGATCGGCCTATTAGAATTTAGTAGCAAAATAGCGGCCATGGCAGCCAAATTGTATTTCTGATTGACCCGAAAAATAACAACACTTTGTCAGGACCATGAGCTGATCATTCCTACAAAGTTTCAGTTCAATCGGCCTAGCAGAACTTGACTTTAAGTTTGAAATAGTTTTTCAAAATGGCGGCCGTGGCGGCCATATTGGATTTCTGATCGACCCGAAAAATAACAACACTTTGTCAGGACCATGAGGCGATCATTCCTACCAACTTTCAGTTCAATCGGCCCAGCAGAACTTGACTTTAAGTTTGAAATGTAAAATGTTAACGGACGACGGACGACGACGGACGAAAACGGATAGCAATAGGTCACTTGAGCTAAAGCTCAGGTGACCTAAAAAGCTGTTCCTGCAGAAATACGATACTAGGAATTAAACTAGCCCAGTATACATTTTAATAAATAATGACTCCCTTGTAATATTGCAGATAAAATCATTACCGTAAAGCAAACCCATTTAAATTTTACAGGGAAATTCTCTAATGTAATATAATCAGCCATGCATGTAACATAACAAGCAAATTTGTGGAATTTATATCCCCTGCTCGTAGGACATATTGTAGGTTAACATTATTGAGGTTAGGTTTAACAAGAGGCCCATGGGCCTTAACGGTCACCTGATATATTTATACAGAGAGTTGATTTTGTTTTTAACATGAACAGAAATATTATTCAAAGTGACAAAAAACAATAAAACCACCTTATTCAATATCTAGCATACAGATTTCAGACTAAAAAGGATTTGAAACTAGCACCTCTGATTCTTAACAAGGAAAATGAAGAAATTTTAGCACACTGACTCCTTTGAGCCCCACCCTACAG